TACCCATTTATAAATTTTCAAGGGTTCATGTGGGAGGGAGGGGAGGGGAGGGGAGGGAGCCGGGGAGTAAGGAGCTGATACCAAGGGCTCAAGTAGAAAGAAAATGGTTTGAGAATGTTGATGGCAACAAATGTACAAATGTGCTTGATACAATGGATGGATTTAAGGATTATGATAAGAGTTGTATGAGCCCCCAATAAAATGATTTTTAAAAAAGAGCTCTATGAACCCCTAATAAAATGATAAAAAAAAAGAAAGAGAATGATGATGGCAACATATGTGCAGATGTGCTTGACACAATGGATGTCTGTATGGATAGTGATAAGACCTTTAAGAACCCCCAATAAAATGATTTTTTTTTAAAAATGCTGCATCAACAAAGTAAAAAGATATAGCCACAGTCATTTGAAGAGCCTATTTCAATTAATTCATTAATCCCAAACATTCGAAATGATCATTTCAACATGTGGCCAATATTGAACACTGTTCATGAGATATTTTACATTAAAAAGTAGTTCAACCTCTTGTGTGTACTGGACACAGACAGCTCATTTCAGCCAGCCATGTTTCAAATGCCCAGCCAGCACCTGTGGCCTGTGGCTGCCATATTGCACGGGGCAGGCCTTGCTGTGATTTAATGGAAGCACCAACCAGTACTCTGGGGTTTGGGGCTGGAGGAAGCCCACCTCCCCTTTGTCTGTGATTGTTGCATATGGTTGCCCACAGACAGGGTAAGCAGGAGCTTTGGGGGTTCCCTTCTCCCCACCATGTTCCTCTTTCCCTGCCAGGTATGGATATAGAGCCTCATATTAATGACATTCAGTCATTTATAGCTACTACTTTTTTGGGGGGGTGGGTCCTTTTCCAACCCTTCTAAACCCATCAACTGCGAAAATCACTCTTAAGGGCCTGTAGATCGTCAGCACCTAGCTTCCCCCTTCACAGAGGGCAGGCAGGCCGCAGGTGCAGGCAGCATGGTTCTCCGTCCCTCCCTGGCACTGCTCGACTGAGTAAGCTGGACACTCGTTCTTACCTTTGTGCCCCTCGGTTTCTTTGCATGTAGAGCTAGGGAGAAGTAACCCTTTTCTAGCTACAATGATCCAGTCTTCTGATTCTCTAAGCCAGTTTCTCAGCGTTTGCCCTTCCTCACCCTTTCCGACCTCTCTGAGTATTGCCGGTTGGAGGGGACTAGGATCCCCAGAAAGATGGCTGGAGTACGAACTGCGGGTTGCTGGGTGCATGGTCTTGTTTGGAAATAGGGGTGGAATATTCTGCTTGGTTAAGTCAGGATTAGGCCAGACTAGAGTAGGGGGAGACTGGGTGAAGAGAGAAGAGGCTCAGAGTCAGATCCGGAGGGAAGAGGCCACGTAGACATGAGGCAGAGGAGGGAACGAGGCATCACCAAGCCACGGAAGCCAGGGATTCCGGGGAGCCTCCAGAAACCACAAGAGACAAGAAAGGATCTTTTACCAGAACCCGTGGAGGCACATGACCCTCCAGGTACCTTGTTTTCAGACTTCTGACCGCCAAATTTCTGTTGTCTTCAGCCACCAGTCGGTGATAGATTAAGGCAGCCCCAATAACTTATAATGTAGCTTTACTATCATGACTTAATGTTTTTTTTCCCTTTTATGACCTTATTTCAGTTTTACTTAAATGAATGCACTTGTAAATAGAAACACAAAAGCACTTGCTGAAAGCAGAGATATTTACCTGTTTTTTACTGAAATAGAAAGGAAAGCTTAAAAATGATTAAATTTCAGCTTAAACCTGGTGCCTGTCTCTGAGCTGGGGCTTGCCCTCTAAGAAAAGTGGTTTGCAGTGAAGGGGTGTTAAAGACACATCAACACCAAGCCGAGACTTTCTGTGTGCTTACACCCCCAGTGCACCCCCAACAGCCAACATGCTGCCCCTCAGGGGTCCGTACTCATTAGTGACCTACACACAGGTGGCCACATTTTCTATCCGGCTCCCCTGAAGGGTGACTGACCTACTGAGGGTTGGAATCACTTGTCTAGAGACCATGAATCAGACAGAAGCAGTCTCCAAACAAGGAAGCTGTGTGCATTGTTTGGGGCTGTCCTTGTGTATCAGACTAGAGGACACATGCTGGTCACAGTGTTGTGTCTTAGAGGTAGTGCTGATGGCCAAGGGGACTTGGGGAAACTTTGGAAGCATACTTCCAGTGATGTTTTCATATTTTATAATCCCATTGCCGGAAGTGGTTTTATTTGTGCTTTGCATGGGTGTTTAGAGAGCAGCCGTTCAATTCATGCACGCTATGTTTTATGAATGGATTGCTATCCCCACTTCCTCCTGCGTTTCCTGTTGGCATCCATCCTTCCTTCTCTACTATACATACGTTCCTGCCTCTGAGTTTTCTCCCTGGGCCATTGCTGCCCCTGTGGTCTCGTATGGCTGATTGTTGTAAAGATTGAGTACATCCCTGGTGCTACAGTTGACCTTATATATCAAAACCCAAATGCACTGCCGTTGTGTTGATTTCGACTCATAGTTACCCTACAGGGTAGGGTAGAACTGCCTCGTGGATTTCCCAGGCTGTAACTGTGTCTGGGAGTGGAAAGCCTAGTCTTTCTTCCTCGGATCAGCTGATGGTTTTGAACTGTCAAGCTGCGGCTAAGCAGCCCCGCTTGTAACCACTACCCTGTCAGGGTTCCTAGTTCAGTTACAAGAGTGAAAGGCATCTACTGGCCACCGTCTTAGGGGGGGTTAGAACGCAAGCTGTCTTATAGTTGGGCTTGTCTGCAGTTCCAAGGGGAAACCATTCAGTCCATCAGCAAGCCCAGTACATGTAATGACTTTAATGTCAATCCCTTCCAGGCACTGGAAAGAGCTGATGGAGAAGACGGGCGTGTTCTTTGAAATGACGGAGACCTTCACTTTGGAAAACATGTTCGCGATGGAGCTGCACAAGCATGCCGACGTCCTCAACGAGATCGTCACGGCCGCCATCAAGGAGATCGCCATCGAGAAGGTGGGGCTCCTTCCAGGTCCGAGACAGGAGCCAGAAACACATTCTCATTCAAAGAGGAGGCACATTTGATCTAGGACCTACCGCGCTGGTGGAAGAAAGAGTCGTTTCTAGAGCTGGTTTCCCCACCCCCACCACCTCTATTAACTTGTTTTCCCCAAGCGTAGTTTCATGTGTGCAGTATTTGGTATGTTAACTGGATGTTCATGGTCAAAACTGACGCTAAGTGCACTCCTCACCATTCCAGCACCCGAAGAGACTTACCGTCAACCATTCAGTGTCTGTCCTTCCAGCATTAAGAATGAGCGTACACAGTGGCGCCGTGGCTAAGCGCTGGGTTGCTCTACAGAGGGGCTCTGTGGGAAGAAGACATGGCGGTCTGCTTCCAGAAAGATTCACAGACTTGGAAACCTTCTGTGGCAGATCCACTCTGTCCTGCGTGTGTGTGTGTGTGTGTGTGTGTGTGTGTGTG